TGGATGAGTGATGAAACGCTACGTCCAGATGAACAGAATCAACTTTTGGAGATTTACTTACGTGGATGATTGAGCATGCATCAAGACCTTCTAACATTTGGTTATAGCAGACCCAGATGGCACTTGCCATCACATATACCAAACCCAGTTCATAACTTCTGGGCCTCATGTGGAGAACACCATAGACTTTTAGCCCAAATAACAATTTAGCAGTGCCATTACTGATCAGTCAGTAATAAAAAATAGCCCAGATTAGATGGGGGATGGAAAGGTGGAACGATAATAGTTTTGGGGGGATCTTTGCTTTTGCTTTTTGGTTATGCCACCCAAAAAGCAGGGCGTTAAGATGGGTTTTATGCTGCAATATCCCATTAAAATGGCATACTGAAAACATTATTTGGACACACAAATTTTGTTTTCACATGAAGAGCAATTAAAAAAATCACTATAGCTGAGCATAATATAATTTATCTTTAAAAGAAAACAATGAGTCATAACGTCTTGGTCGGTCAGCCATGTGAACAAAACAGTCTTATTTTGAAAGGAATCCCCGGAAGCGCTGTTAGTGTTTCGCTATGTTTTGTGGCTCCCTGGGGAAAGTCAAAACCCCGGCATTTTTCACTTCTCTCGTGTCTTCTCTGCTCAGTTGTCAGATCAGCTGCAGTAGTCGACGGGAGAACGGCTATCATTTGTCGTGCCTTAACTTGCGCATCTAAAGCGAAGAGGTGCCAGTTTGTTAGCTCACCATGGAGAACCGAAAGCGACCATTCGCAGCGGTTTCAAGCCCAGACGATAGCTTCAAAACGCCGGAAAAGAAAGTGTCAGTGGTCCGGGTGTCGGATTCGGACTACATGCAGTGGGGAGTGGAGGAAATGTGCCGGTACCTGCGAAGAGAAGGTCTTGGAGAATGGATAGACACATTCAAGGGTTGGTTTTCTGCTTTTGCCATCTTAAATTAGGCGCTCGAAGCTAATTGTTATTAGCGCTAATCTGCGGACTTCTGTTTTTATTGTAACATCTAAGCTAACATTAAAACTGTTGTGTTGTACAGCGCAAAAAATCACAGGTGTCGGGCTTCGGGATCTCAGGGATGCTGACCTGGAGAAGATTGGCGTAAAGTAAGTGCGTCCTCTGTAAAACTTGGGTTGGGCGTGTGGACTGGGGAAGTCTGGTGGCCTGCCAAAAAGCGATCCTCTGCCAAAAAGCAATTTCCGGTTTCTTTGCCAGAAAACGATTACCAATATTTAAACCACTGTAAACGACACGCTGAACTGTAAGCTGTCACATACATAATCGATACAAATACATACATTTTGACTCAGAGAGAGCATCCCTGTCACAGGGTACAAGCTGACTTTTACATATCTTTCATGTCATTGAGATTTAAAATGTCTCTTTCAAAAGCGATCTGGCTGACAGGGCTGTATAAATTGCAAGAAATAAAACAAAGCACGTATATTAATATATTTAAAAGTACTGGGTTGGATTACCGTGTGGAACTTAGGGTAGGTACAATAATGCAGTCATAACAAAACTTGCAAAAATGGTAATTTCTATATTTTCATATAACCCTTCATAAATCCTCTTACTACAGGCTATTTATGAATATAATCAAAGTTATTAGACCTAAAAAAATGCATAGAAACATCAGCAATCAGTTTGTGTCACAGCTGGTTAACCCATTAAAGAGAGCAGCGCACACCTGTATTGTCAAAGAAGGGCAATTCGGTGTGTATATACAGCACCCATTAAAAAACACCAGAGCCAGGCTCAGGGAGGAGCAGCCATTTGCTGCGGTATAACTAAGGTATGATTCAGGATCACCTGACCCAGGCCGAACTATGAGCGTTATCAAGTCTCATCTTAAAAGAAGAGACTGAGAAGAGTGTTTGTTTCCTGAACCCAAAGTGGAACTGGTTCCACAGGTGAGAACTCAAAAACTGAATTCCTAGCCTCCCGTTCTGCTTCTGTTTTCACAGCAACCTGGTGGATTAGTTTTTCAGCATCACTCTGGCACAGGACGTTTCTAATTTTATCAATATTACGCAAGACATTTTATGCATCTCACCAGATATTCCTGCAACTTTTTCACTTTTATTTCTTCCTCTTCTTTTTCTATTTTATTCTTCCAAGGTGTCTGGGTGACCGTCTGCGGATCCTAAACAGCCTCAGAAAGCTGTGGCAGATTGAAACTGAGCCAAGCAAGGTAACAGTTGTTTCACTGTTCACTGTGCACTTTCAAGGCTGTGGAGATAAGTAACGCACAATTTGGGAAACGGAAACGTGGAGCACTGCAACCCTGATTTGGATAAGCTGTTAGGAAATGTGGCATAACACCACCACAGTCTCTGAATGAAAGACATTCTCTGTCCTCATTGGCAGAAGGATCTACCTGATAGTTCTACTAAGAAAAACTTAGAACTTTTAAAATTAACCAAATTCCTGTCAATCTGCAGCCATATTGATAACACCTCTTTTGCCATTTTTTTCAGGCAGGAAATGTCAAGAATTAATTGCTGTATTTTAGTCATACCATAAACGATTAAAATTGAACATGTGTGCTGAAAACAGGGTTTCAGAAAGTCTTTTTGGTTCTGGAAGTCATCTACATTTTGACTATATAAATATATCCATTGGTAATCATAAGGTTTTTTGTCTGATTGTTCACACTACAAATAAAATGTGACAGCAAACGCGCTCTAGTGTGAACCGTTCACGACCCTCAAAGCGGTCCGCATGCGCAAAAGAAGACGTCACACACAACGTGCTCCGTTTAGACCCAGACCAACAGTATTGTTTGACTGATGGCCCTTAATATAAAGACTTGTTTCGGACTTTACGTTTTCCAATTTTGCTTTAAGTTATAAAGTTATTTTGTTATTTACATATGGCCTAATAATGATCATTATTGCTGTTTTAGAGGAGCGGTGCTTCAAAGGATAGTTGGAGATTTCTGTCAGAATCTGCAGATTAAACAGTACAAATAAAATGTTCACGTTTCTCCAACGTTGTCTTCCCAACAGTTTCACTAACATCTACGCTGGATGGCCAGGAAGCGTTCACGATGTCTTCTCCAGCGCTGATAATTGCCGTCTGTGTTGTGTCAGTGACGTAAAAAACGGATTTAATGGGACATGACCATTCAAACAGCAGTCGCTTTCTAAAACATCAGATATGTATCGGATTCAGTACCACATACGAAAGTGACCTAGATCGGATTTGAAAATATCGGATGTGTGCTGTTCACACTGTCATACCATGATTGGATATGGGTCCCATAGGGTCAAAAAAGTCAGATTTGGTGCGCTTTTGCCTGCAGTGTGAACGTAGCCAAAGAAATGTTTGCCAACATTTCTACTGAAGTGTAAACTGAGCATATTTGCACACTGCTGTGTTGAATATACTGTATGTACGGCCACATAAATGTCTTTTGTGGTGGTATACTCATACTGTTGGTTATTGTTTGTGCTTCCAGGTGTTTAACGATCCTATCCACGGGCATGTGGCATTACACCCGCTTCTCATCAAAATCATAGACACACCTCAGTTCCAAAGATTGCGAAACATCAAGCAGCTAGGAGGGACCTACTTTGTCTTTCCCGGAGCGTCCCACAACCGATTCGAACATTCGCTTGGGTATGTTTTTAGTTCAACAGACTGTTTATTGAGAAGTGTTAAACTGATCTTGTTTTGCTGTTAACTACACATAAAGCTGTAAAATCATACGGAAGAGCATATTCTTCTCTCTAATATAATAGTGTTAGAGTTTTATCACAGGTCACACAGAAAAATTAGCTCCAAGTGTATTTTACAGTGACAAACAACCTATTCATCCCTACCTGCCTCATGGCTAATAACAGCTTTCTGTTACACTGGCAAAGATAGATATGGCAGAAAATAAGTGGAATAACAACACACAAAGTCAACATTTCAATGACCGTTAAACATAGATGTGTCACACATTTTTAAACCTTGCCAACCTTTTTTCAGATAAACTCATTGCTTGAAATACCTGAAATTGCTAAACTAAAAGTGAAATGTATCATATAATCAAGTTTCACTGTGTATGTTGTTTGAAATAAGCAATTTTGTTTTGTCCTGGCACAGTGTGGGTTACTTGGCTGGACGGCTTGTAAAAGCTCTAAACGAGAGGCAGCCAGAGCTCCTTATCTCTCGCAGAGACATCTTGTGCGTGCAGATTGCTGGGCTGTGCCACGACCTGGGTAAGTGGTGTTATAAAAGAAACTTATTAAAACGTGTCACAAGATACTGACGTAAATGAAAATGGACTAAAGATGATTTGCTCAGCCAATGCTGCGTTTACCATGATTACTTACTGGGTCTGAGCACAAGTTAAAATAAAAGTGAAGCTGTGTTATTTTATTCTTATCATCTGTTTACCAGACTGCAGTGGAGCAAAGTTAACACAAACACATTATGTACTTTTCTCTTCCTAGGACATGGACCATTTTCCCACATGTTCGATGGTGTGTTCATCCCCAAAGCACGTCCTGGTATAACCTGGAAGGTACTGAACTCTGTGGCACAAATGTTAAATGAAAACAGCAGTTAAGGAGAAGTATGGAGGTCGCATACAGGGCAGTATCAGCCACAGAGGGAGTCGCAGTAGTTCAGCACCACTTTATTCCATGTAACCCAAAATAAAAATATATAATTATATATTTTTGTAGCTCCACTTTTTCTCAGTAGCAGCTTGGAGCCTCTCTATGTCCTCAGTTTCATTTTCCCTAAAACTACTCTTGCATTGTTGACATGTGTTGTTTTCTTGAGGTTTTAGCTGCTCCAGTGAGTCTTAATAAAACTATTTGGCAAACAAAGAAATGAGAATCAGCACCTCTGAGTCACATCTACAACCTACTTGCCCGAACTTACATTTAAGCATGCAAGGAAAAATACTTTTTTTTTTCCAAAAGCCATCATACTTGACCTGAAGTCCTGAAGCTAATTATGATTTCTAAAGGAAATAATGTTTCTGTTTCTGAGTTGTTTAAAATTGGGAAGTTACTGCTTTAACAAGATGTTTTTAAAAATAAAACCACACTGGATCTGACTTTTTCCAGACAGATGATGACTACTGTCTGGAAAACAGGCGATCTTTGTTGTGGCTGTTTTGGGAAGTTAATGGAAAAGGCCTCGAGTTGTCTAAGTCATCGCACTTTGGAGGATAATGAAGCTTGAGTGCTATTGTGTAAATTATTTCACTGCTACCTAAAGACATCCAGCTAATGTTAACATTTAATTGGTGATGTAGGCTTTTAAAATGCCTGCCTGCTCAACTCCCTTCATTCTATCGATAGTTAAAACAGTTTTTCAAAATCAAATCATAGTTCTGAAATTATTTCTACTTGACCTTACAGTGAAGGTCAATTTGCAGCAGTTGCTGGCGATTTTTGTTTACAGAAGCTTTTTATTGGCAGTTATAACAACTGCGGGTCAAGACCTAAGCACAAAGCATTATTTGATTTGATACTTTCTCAGTTAACAGCAAAGATAGCGATTGTAGTGTTCAGACTGATAAGGAGAGCTGATAAGAACCACTAAGCACACGGTCATTGTGTATGTTATGACCACAGGCCTGCTGTCTGGCAAACGTGAGAGATAAGATGAGCTTTCACGGTTGTTTCCTGTCATGTTTATTCTGAAGTCAGCACTTTCTCTTTGAGTAACGAGTCACTGATAGTTCAATCT